TTGTTTAAAAAAGCGTTTTGCAAGAATAGATTGTCTTATGCCCAGATTGAAGTTTATCACACTGTGCAGGACCATGCATAAGCAAGACGGTTCTATATTTGACTTACACAGGAAATTTTTAGTTTGGGGTTTTAATTGCTACCGGGAAGAGAAATATATTTTCTAGGCCTGAATAAGATGGCAGCTGGACTAACTCGAAAGGGGCCAATCGTTTCCAGGAATCGTAGCTCGGAAGCCACGTGTATTTTCAGCAAAATTATATATTCTGAATCTGTCCTCCTTCCAATAATTCCGCCCCCCCCCCCAAGTTCTAAACAAGTTTCTAATTTTGGCAGGTTGAGATGTTTTCAGTGAGGTTCAAATCGAAAGGATTTTCCTCATTTCGATAATATTATATTAATTGGATCAATTTGAGTGGCAACATAAATTGTAAATTGAAATTGTAAAATCTGCAAAAGTTCTGGGTATGATAGTTACCAATGATTTGAAATGGAACAAACAAGTATGAGCAATACCGTGCAAAAGGCTTCTATATAGCTAAGAGACTTTATTTATTAAAGCAATTAAAACGCGCTGAAGTGGAAACTAGCTCCTTATACCACAGGGAGCAGAGGAGTCGAGTTTATCTAGTAAAACAATACAAACGCCGTCTTACCTTGTTAATTGTAATATCTTTCATTGTAGAATCCCCATGTGTGCATTAAAAATGCATATTTTACAATTTATATTCTGTTGAAATTGTCGTGAAACCATATAAAGTTTATAAACATTGTATGCCTTGTATGATTTTTTATTCGTACTTCATGTAACATGAACACCAAATGAATATACTCTGCTGTTCTAGATTATCGTAGGCTCACATTTCGCTATACTTAGTAAACAATAAGAAACGAGGAAAGGGAGGAAACAGTCACTGGGGTGATATTTTAGGATGGCTATAACTTGCTTAGTATTTCATAAAAAAAACATAATTTTTTGCATGCAAGCTAGAAATGATCTATTCTTACTACGCTAGGAAATAAATTTCAATAAACGGTCGTCTAACCTACATATTTGACGACCGATATTCATCGATTATTTTCGTACGATGTGCACCGCAACACCCTATGACGGAAGTGACGTATTGTTTCGTGTTTATGCATGATTGTTCAAATTTTTCGAAAACTAATTACAACTGTCAAATGAAGTTCTGCTTCGTCATTGGTCAATGGCCGGTTTTATTCACTTCCGTCATAGGGTGTTGCGGTGCACATGCGACGAAAGATCTGCAATGTTTCCTCCCTTTCTTAGTTTCTTACTCGTTGATATCTCGGACAGTGTTCGTTAGCTTTTCGGGAAATACAAGTCTACGATAATTCAAGGCAGCGGAGTATATTAAGAGCAGATGTCAGCAAAATTCATACAACGGACGGCAACACACTGAAAATCGATTTTCCTCATACTTTCATGTTTTGTCGTGTATTATATCCTAATTATCGTGGCATGGTTTATTTGTCAAAATACGATTTTGTTTTTGAGAAATATTTATTTTGGTCGGAGTGGGTAAATATACTAATTAGAAGTGTTCCGGATTGACCAACTTAATCGACTTCGTGTAACGAAAATATTTAACCGTTGGATTCGAAAATATGATATTTGTTTTTTTTGTCATATACACTTGACTCACTATCATTATGAAAGATTTGAGTTTTGTACTAAAATAATGACAATTTTTTATATTCACCATACTTTTTCTGACTGTGAAAGTAGCCTCGAAATAACGGTAATTTAAACTATGTGCGATACATCTAAATCCAACAAGTTTCAGGATGTTAACAGTCGAAATGATGATTAGTTAGCTGATGTAAATATGTGCTTGTGTATTTGATTTATAATCACGAGACGTGATGTCAAAGTTACGTAAAATTCAATTGTTTACTACAATGAAATGTACATAGCGGCATCTGGTGGGCTATAAATTCATTCGTGTTTACCGATAAATAACATTCTTAAAAGTGAAATATTGGCTCTAACCTTGTAAGTTGTTGAAGTTGAAGAGATCGACGGTTGTTTCATCCATTATTTGCCAGGTTAAAGCTATAAAGACGTTGTTTGCGGTGTCATTTTTATACGACTACCATATTATAAATGGTTTGTATAGCGTGACCAACAGAATTGATATGAAATATTGAATTCAGTGCAGTTCCTTAACATTTCGCTTCTGGTAAAATTCTTGTGATTTTATTCTTTTTATCGCCAGTCATTGTTTTAAATCAGAAGTGAACCATTTTTGTCACAAAGTAACTTAAAATGACATTTTGTTTTGTATTAATACAATGTTATGAATAATTGACTATGCAGTAATGGATACATGCTTCCAGATGGCGGATACGAGATTGCGGATACGGGATAGCGGATATCAGATAATACTTTCTATTAAGTCTACTGAGCGGTTTCAGTTGATAATTTTATGATGGATAAAACCGACAATGTATCTACGGCTACGCGTAATATATTAGTAAACTTATAAATTGCATGTACACTTCTCAACAAAGTTTAAGACGAGGTCAACATATGGCTTCTTAATCTTGCGTTTGCCTTTGATGCCAGAAGTGTCTAGTTCGAAAAAGGAACAGATATCTTGTAGCACCAAAATTGAAAATCTGTCGAGCTTATTGCGTGAAGCATAGTCACAAAGGTTATATGTGTCATACATTATTGGATGGCGAGAGGAAACTGCATTAAGGACCTTAAAATGTAAATCTTGTATTAGTTCTTCTGTACTGACTTCTTGTTTATCCTTCTGGGATGTAGTTGAAAATCCAGCGGCAGCCTTCCTCCTCTTTGCTGTTTCACGCGAATAGAAACTAGCGATTTGCTGTGCCGTCAGATATTCGGTAGCTGTGAACATAGGCTCGCCACTGGAGAGCCTTGCCCTCTTCATTGTTCTTGAAACGGACACAGGATCAGCCTTTTGACCAGTCTGCTCACCGACTTGATAAGTATCTAGTAAATATGTCTTTTGTTTCTCCGATAGTCGTTTGTACTCCTTGGTACTTTTAAGGGCCCAGCCCATATTCAGAATCGGCGTAGCTACAACGTCAACTGGAATGTCTTCACAGATCTGTGGTACATCACAAGTTGCTCCTTGTTCAAGCTTTGATGCGTACATAATTATTGCCTTATCAAATAAAGTTTCGCACTCTAGAGCGTACTTGTGCTTCCCACAATCGAGGTGGTTTTGAAGTGAGGAATGTCGCTGAAAGGACATGACACAGCCTTCCTCAGAACAAAAGAATAAGCTCTCAGCATTTTGATTGTCTTCATCTGTAGCGTCCTCTCCTGCAGAGTCAAACTGTTCAGGCACGGTGGTTTCTTTGGATTGTCGTCTTGTCATGATGTTAGTAAATGAAACTGAAGCGGTATGGGCGCTCACTTCATGTGGATCTTTGAGTGTTGGTGGAAGATAATCTTTGGGCACGCTAAAATCGTCCCATAACTTAAGTTTGCCAGGTCCAATACCATAGGCTCTCCATACTCTGATCCCTTCTTTGCTGAATTTCATGTTGTTAAGAAGCTGATCCCTTCCCATTTTACAGGAAAAGGCACTTCATCACCTTGTGGGCCACACAACGTTACTCGTACCCCCGATACACCGCCTTGTGATTCTATGGCTGCCACCATTTGCTCCGCTGTCTCGATGTCATGACCCTCATTGAGATGAATTCTCATTTTGGTTTTAATTGTAGCCGCTTTGCGGTCGCAAGACCCTTTTCCTCCCTGTGGGTCAGAGAAATCCATGGATAGCTTCATGTTGTGCTTGGTAGCGATTTGGTTGACAGAGAGCAGTACTTCAGCGGAGTGGTAACACCCGGCGTTATCTTGTCTGAGAAAGAGAGTTGTTATTTCTGGAGCAATTGACTTTATTTGATGGAAAACATCGTCAATGATGGCTAACACTGTGCTGCTGACCTGGGTGCACTTTTCAAATAGATGTACAAAAGTAACCATTTCCAAATTTCCTCATCGCTTCTTCGCATAGCCACTGTTATGTGCCAGCTGATACCACGTTTTCCAAACCAATCACTCTGTGCCTCGCGGAACTTTCTGGGCAGAAACTTCATGGCCCAATCGAGAACCAAGAGTGCAGAGTGTGGACCAAGATTTTTTAAGATATCTAACCTTGCTTGGTCTTGATTAATGGAGCGGAGAATATGAGCTTTCCATGCGCCGATTTTGTTCTTTGATTGCTCGAATTGATACTTTATTTGGTCTTTTTCAGCTCCATCCTCAAGGCTTTCTAACACTGAACTCACCTATTCATGTAAACATTCAAGAACATGTCATTAGCATCATGATTATCGTGATCACTTGATCACCATGACGACCATCATCATTTTCATTACTACCTTAAGGATGGATTCATAATTACAAATAAATTGTCCACAACCTTGACAAACACGAAAACTCAAATTACCTAATAATATTTACAAAATTGCTATTATTACCTCAGCGACCACATTGGGGAATATATTACAACGGTCACACTGTTCTTTATGGTCATGATCACATTGGGAAATGTAGTCTTCGTCGCCGGGACAGCTCAGAGCGTACTTCTTACAGTGATCAGGTACTGAGGAATCCTGGGAAATGTGAACCTGTCCAGAGAGAAAACGTATGAAGTGAACCGATCCGTCGTGTGTGTGTGTGTGTGTGTGTGTGTGTGTGTG